CCGCGGGCGCGGGCGACGTCGCGACGCTCGCCGTCGACAGCCGCCTCTGCGAGGAGAACCCGCACAACTTCACGGGCCTCGACATCGGCGTCGAGACCGTCGTCCAGGGCGGCGCGACGGAGCAGCAGACCGTGCACCTCGCGCTCGACGGCGGCTACCTCGAGGGCTCCTACTACCAGCTCCAGTACGGCAACGAGCGCACGGCCTGCCTCGACTGGGGCGCGCCAGCCGAGGACGTCCAGGACGCGCTCAACGCGCTCACGACGCTCACGGACGCGCGCGTCGCCGTCGACGTCGACATCACGCCCCTCGACGGCTACCCGTCGTTCCAGCCCAACTACATCCTGCGCTCGTCGAACTCGTCGAACACGTTCAAGATGGACCGCGCGGGCAACCGCGACCGCCGGCCGCGCTTCGACGGCAAGGTCTTCGTCGGCGACCGCATCCGCGTCAACGGCACGACGGGCGTCTACACGGTCATGGAGGTGCTCGACGACGGCTACGCGCTGCGCCTCAGCGACAAGTTCTCCGCCGCGGCCCACCTCTCCGTCGACGCCGTCGCGCTCTACAAGGTCGCGGACGCCGTCACGGTGAAGAAGGGCGGCATCGGCAACGCGACGGTCGCCAAGACCGTCGTCCAGGTCGTCGCGGACGCGCAGTTCTACGCGAGCTCCGAGAACACCAAGGGCCTCTTCAAGCTCCAGGTGACCCACGACGGCGAGGTCAAGCAGACGTCGTGCATCGACTACGCGGCGACCGCCGAGGAGGTCCAGACGGCCTTCGACTCGCTCCTCTTCGACCTCAACGCCGACGGCCTCGTCAACGACGAGAACCACGTCACGGTCACGCGCTCCGGCGACGGCGGCGTCGCGAGCGGCCACGGCTACGAGTACCTCTTCGAGATGACGGGCCCGGACAACAACCGCGACGCCTACGGCTACGGCGGCGCGACGAGCTCGATCCTCGGCTCCAACGCGCCGAAGATCGAGGTCGTCGCCGTCGGCTCCGAGTTCGGCTGCCAGGACGCGCTCGGCCCCGAGGAGAAGCTCGACGCCACGGCGACGACGAAGCACAACTCGACGCGCGTCGAGCTCAGCGCGAACGCGGCGCTCTACGTCGCGCCGGGCGACCGCATCCGCATCGGCGACTCGTCGGACCCGTTCATGATCTACACCGTCGCCGAGACCGCGACGTTCCTCAGCAAGTACTGGATCGAGCTCACGCTCCCCTTCGACTGCGGCAACTCGACGCACGGCTCGGGCCCCATCTACGGCCTGACGAACGGCTGCGGCAGCGGCAAGACGATCCACAAGTCGCTCGCGGGCGCGCCGTCCTTCGCCGTCCGCGAGGTCGTCTCCGGCGCGGACGTCTTCGAGTACGACGTCTACTTCGTCGGCCCCCACCTCGCCGACGTCGACGCGCTCGAGGTCGTCAACGAGGCCACGGGCGAGTGCCTCGACTGGAGCCACTACGGCGGCCGCGCGCGCGACGCGCGCGTGTCGACCGTCGTGCCCGGCGGCTCGCTCGAGGTCCAGACGCTCACGCTGGCCACGGACAGCGCGTACGCCAAGCCCGCGCCGGGCGGCGAGTACTACGCGTTCTTCATCAACCACTACACGATGGTCACGGCCTCGTCCACGGGCCTCGGCAACG